CAAAGAAGGCATTAAGTACTTCAGCCTTGTCTTCATCCTTAGGGACAATGTTCCCCCCCACATCCAGTAAGGGATGGAGATTCTCAGTGGCTCTCTTTTTGTTGTTAATATATTTGTAAAAACATTCTCTGTTATCCTTTACGACCATAGCCAGATTGAGCTCTAGCTGGGCTTTTGTCTTTCGAACTTTGTCCCTGCTTGACCTAACAAGATCCTTGTACTCTTCTTGAGTTGCCTGCCCCTTCTTCCAGAGAAGATAAACTCTCCTTTTTTCCCCCCTGAGTCCCAGCAAAATCTCCCTGTTCAGCCAGGCCAGTCGCCTTCCCCGCCAGCTCTTCTTAACAGCACATGGGGGCCGCCTGCTCCTGCACCTTTAAGATCTCCTTCTTGAAGACTGTCCAGCCTTCCTGGACCCCTCTGACCTTCAGGACTGTCTCCCAAGGGACTCTCTCAACCAGTGACCTGAACAGGCCAAAGTCTGCCCTCCGGAAGTCCATGGTAGCAGTTTTGCTGACCCCTCTCCTTACTTCGCTCACAGAATTCTATCATGTCATGGTTGGTAAGCCCAAGATGGCCTCCAACCACCACATCTCTCACCAGTCCTTCTGTTTGTAAACAGCAGGTCAAGCAAGGCACCTCCCCTGGTGGGCTCACTCACCAGCTGTGTCAGGAAGTTATCCTCCACACACTCCAGGAACCTCCTAGACTCTAATTTAATACATGTATGGCTAGACTTATAGAAATATCAAATGTTCAGATTTAACATTGCACAGGATTCTCCCTTCCAGCTCCTCCTCACTGACCCCTATCAGGTACAAACAACATTCCTAATTAAAAAAAATAATCAAGTTTAGATTGCCTTTTCAGATTTTGTTACTAGCAAATTAAGTGTCTCAATTTCCAACCAAGAAAATTCAGATTTTGGAGAACCATGGAAAGTACATAAAAAACTTGAAAGAAAATCTCCTTTCCTCAGGCTAAGCTGAGGAGGTGGAAAGCCTGTGCAATTCTACTACCAGCAATGCTGAAACTATGCAGAAGCATTCCCTTACCCTCCCCTTTGTATTTTGAGAATAGGCATTACCTACAATAAGTACCAGTCCCCTATCTTTTTAAAGCAACTGTTCTTCCAAAAGCACAACACTGAAATCGTACCGAAATGGCAACATCCCTAACCATCAAAACTACTGCAGATCCTCCTCAAAGGTAGTCATTTAGGGTAACTGACTGCAAGTTCATAACAGAACATTAATTTAGTGTTACCTGTTCATGAATAACTCTGAACTCCCTCATCTCATCCTCTGTTAGTGGAGCATATATTTCATCGTTTTCACCATCTTCCTGCCAGCCCATCTCCTTTAACAACCTTGAAATTAAAAAGGACAACATTAAGGTATTTTAATTAATACACACACTCAGACATTTCAAGCTCTGCCTACATATTTATGTAAAGATCTGTAACAAATGGATTAATCAGTCCATATTTTATTAAGCAAACCCTTGCATGAAAGTAGGTTAAAAGCCTTACAAAAGATATACAAAGCATAGAAGTTAAGTTCTCAGGTCCTTCACAGATGACTATTTTACCACTACCTGTGGTAAAAACTGTACCTTCATTTTAAGGCAAGAAATCTGTGTTGGGTAGAAAAGTAAGAATGTATTTCTTTTGCGTAACTGCTCTGGTGGAACAGCAGTGTACCCCCTTGAAAACAGTATGACGAGAAAGACTCACACCAAAGGAATCTGCAGGTTTTCCTGAATAACACAGCAGCCATGACAAATACTGGTGGTGTCCCTCCATGGCAACCAATTCAAGATGCAATGGCCTCATATAGTTTCTTTTATTCTAGCACTGCTAATGTCGGAGCCAGGACAGGTTACTTTGCAATTGAGTCTCACCCAATGACAGATGCTGATATTTCAGCAGAGACAGACTAAAACTAGGAGTGAGTTTTGGGATGAGGGGAGGAAAAGAAACAAGAGACAAATTAGTCTCGTGATGAATCCAAATATTATATTTGGAGATCCAAAGATGCAATAATTGTCTTTTACCTAGTGCCAGAAGTAGGACAGCAGTATCTGAGCAGGAAGAAAGTGGTTTTACATGTGAAGACACTCAAAACAGGGGTTATCTGAAGGTGAAGACACTGTGACATTGAACAATGAAGATAGGAAGTTCTCTTGCTGCAAAGATTTTGCCAAAAGGATTAGCACCTTCTTCAGGCAAACCATGCATCTGTTGACCTTAAATGTTAAAAGGTGGTTAAAGCTATTTCACAAAAAATAAAAGACATTTCCAAAGTATATGCCAGAACTGACAGAAGAAACTGACACTTAGAGTTGAAGACCAGTGAATCTATTAAAACAGGGACATAAGGTGAATTTACAGTTGATGTCATGTGCCAGGTACTTAATTTAGCCAAATGTCGTTAAAAAATGCCCTTCAACATAAACTTCTCCTTAAGGAGCTCTAGGTCCCAATACAATGGATGTGCATTAATGGATGTGCATTGGGCAAACTTGCAGGTGGCCAATGACAGGTGTTAAAACCATAATAAAAGTCTGAAACTGTAGAAGAAAGGGAGAACAACACTACTCTGTTTAAAAAGTTAACAGGACAATAATAGAAATGGAAATTACATTCTCTGTAGTATTTGGACTAAGGATAATGTGACAGCCATGAACAATTAAGTCCCCAGGAAGCAGCAGAAATAATATGCAAGTCATCCAAAACTCTTTTAAGAGAATACATGCATTTGAACGGACATAGAAAAAGAAGAAAAAGACTTGCAATGCCAAATGCAGTTCAATGGTAATTATATTTTTGGCAACAGTAATTTGAGTTAGAAAGCTTTACTGCAAGCAAGCTACGATGTATTATGTGCAATAAAGTGAATAGCTACAGAGCTTCTGTTAATGTAAATAAAAGTTAGGGCAGCAGCTAATTAATTTAAGCAACATTGTCTAAAGTTAGCAGGACTGCTGTCCCTTTAAAGCAACACTAGGCTTTTAGAATGGTTGAAAGTGTGAACTACATTAAAAAAACCCCAAACTTCAGATTAGCAAACGTGACACCTACAGGATGGCTGCCTGTGAAACTTCCCCAGCAGAGTGAAGCCCAAGACACATTTTGTACAAGATATGCCAACACTGTTACTAGGTATGCACAAGTATCCTGTGGGTTAAGCTGGTCACTTCAAGTCCAATTTACCACAAATAGGCTTACCGTAACATCTGTACATGCATGCAGAGGTCACAGCCAAAGGGCTAGGACAGTATGGAGACACAGCCCCTCTGGGATATCACCACAGAAAGATACTTGCCCAGAAGCCCTCTGAAGGCCAAAGTCATCTGAGTTGAAAAATGAGTCATGTTTGACTCCTATCTACTAGGGAAAAAGTCAGCAGCAACAGCCTCCACTGGGCCAAGGATTTCTGTCTCCATAGACAGTGGTGGAAAAAAAAAAAAAGAACAGAGCAGAGTGCACTTCACGCTCATGAGGGATAAGAGGTCATGAAAGTTTCCTCTGCAGGTATGAGAAAAAGCAAAGTTCCCTAGTCCAATATATATGTATAATCTATCACTAAAAAAATAAAAAGTTATCTAATCTATCATTGCAATTCTGTAGTTGCCAGAAACAGTAAGAATCTGACAGATCTCACAAGCTCACCTCCAGACTGATTTGTGATTTCCCAGCATCATCATTCTCATCTCTACCAGCTGCTACTGCAGTTATTTTTATGAAATACTAGAATTGTTTCAATCCTTTTTTGAAGTCACATTCTCCCTTACGAGTGCATTCTCTTGTGATATCACTGATAGTGTCAACTAGTCAGCTACAAAATAATTAGTTTAACAATGAAGAAAAACTCACTAGAGTTTTCTATAAGATGCACCATTTAAGTATTAACAACACAAATAGCAATTACATGTATTCGTTCCTCCTAAACATGCAGACCGAAATCAGAGGGATGAAGTCATCATGCAGTTTGCTTTATTTCTTTATAAGGAAATACATCAAATTTTCAGTAAATCAAGTTTAAGTCAGTATACAGGTCTAGCAGAAACAGTACATTCCATGTTAAATTAGTACATGTCTAGAAATTAAAATTTTTATGGTACTCATTAAACATTTTCTGTTTTCTCAGTTTTCAGATACTGACTCTTAAACCAGGAAGAATTTATGACATGGTCACTTACCATGAAGGAACACTCTTTTATATAATATAAAGCACATACCTATGCTCCGCTTCAAGTGAGCTGGAAAGAACATCTGCCTGAGGGAAAGATGAAGATTGAACGATCTGTTGAGATGTAACTGAAGCATTGCCATTCTCCTGTGGAATTTCGTTTTCAAAGTTTCGGTTTATATCTCTCTCATGATGAGGACTATTGCCGTTACGCAACTTAAAGGACTCATCCTGTTAAAAATAATCATATATTACAAAATTTAAAAGGAAATTCCATTCACAAGTAAATGTTTGCAAGTGCTGCAATTCAGTGATTCCATTTAATTTAAATTAAATTTAAATGGAGACGCTCTATACTATGTGGGTAATTCTCTTCATACTTCTAAAGTTTGCAATACCTGAGTACTACAAAAATCTTAAGCTATGCCACTGATCAAGTAATGCAGAACTCCCATGATCTTCCTTCAAACTTTTTTCTACGAAGTTTAAAAAAAATTCTTAATTCAAACTTATTTAAACTGCCCTTCATACTTACAGAAATAACACGTTATCTGTTGAACTTACAAACAATGTCCTAATTAAATTTCAGAGCCATGTGCACCAGGAGAAGTTTGAAAGCATAAGAGTTCAAGCTTACTTAGTGTCAGGAGCATATGACAGTCACCATACCTCAACCAGCAAATTCATCTGCCACAAGTTCAGAAAGACTAAATAAATTTTAAATTCAGACAACTTCCCCCACACACATGCGCTCACCACAGCTTCTCAGGCTGTTGTTAACAGCAGCTCTAGCTTACTAGCCATGGGTCACGGTTTAACCCCAGCCAGCAACTAAGCACCACGCAGCTGCTCACTCACTCTCCCCCCCGGGTGGGCTGGGGAAGAGAACCAGAAGGCTGAAAGTAAGAAAACTCGTGGGTTGAGATAAAGACAGTTTAAAAGGGAAAGCCAAAGCCACGCACACAAGCAAAGTAAAAGGAATTCATTCATGACCCCCCATGGGCAGGCAAGTGTTCAGCCATCTCCAGGAAAGCAGGGCTCCATCACACATAACTGTTTCTTGCGAAGACAAATGCCATCACTCAATGCCCTGCCCCTCCTTCCCCACAGCTTTATATACTGAGTATGACATCATATGGTATAGAACACCCCTTTGGTCAGTTGGGGTCAGCTGTCCTGGTCATGTCCCCTCCCAACTTCCCATGCACCCCCAAGCCTTCTCACTGGTGGGTGGGGTGAGGAGCTGAACAGCCCAACTGCTTAGCAACAATTGAAGACATCAGTATGTTATCAACATTATTCTCGTCCCAAATCAAAAATGTAGCCTCATACTAGCTTCTATGAAGAAAATTAACTCTATCCCAGCCAAAACCAGCATGCCATGAAGTAAGAACTAGGAAGAAAGATTATTTAGAAAGCAGACTGTTCAGGTTCACTCAAATACTAAAAGCTCTTTACTCCTATAAACCAGAGATGTTTCTTTTTATTCTACTCATTCAGGAACCTGTAATTCTTATTTACTAATGAGCAAAATATCCTCAAAAGTCTTACCAACCATAAAGACGGAGAAGAGTACGATCAGTAACTACTTAACACCCTTTTGACAACAAAATTCCTAAACTGGGCATATAACAGCATTATCCATAGCGGGAGGCAATCACTCCATCAGCCAGTTCTGCATTTTTAAGAAAGCATACTTCAGAGTCCAGGATCAAGACCATCATCATTTCCCTCCCACTCAGTGTTATCTGCTTCCAGAAATTTTAGAATGCTCAGCAAGAGCTTAAGAACAAGCATCCCAGTAAACATATATTCAGCTGTTAAGTCATACACCTGAAGAATGAGTCTCAGATTATCAAAGAAAATTCATTAAAATATTAAACAGTTTTTATATAGAGAGAGCAAAATAACTTCTTCCAAGCATGACTGAGCTGCTGATTATGATTTGCCTCATTATTTTAGAGGTGAAATCAGTTACCACAGGCCTTAAAATTCCATCAATAGCATCATGTTATAGAATACTGTTGTGCAGTTACTTCCCCATCCACTCAGATGCACACCATATCTCCTATTAATAATCATTAAAATGAACGTTGGAGGTAGGACAACTATTAGTTACATGATTTAACATCTTTTCACACATGTTAGTGAAACAGCAACAGAAGGGAAAAAGAAGCATGCACTTACCAACGAGTACTCCAGGCTATGTGTTACATACACCTGTCCAAGGACATTGCAACTTCCACTACTAAAAGCCTTTTTTTTTAAAATACACTTGCTTCTGAAAAATCATCTGTGTACAACAGGACAACCAAACGCATTTGACACATATATCAAAGATTATGAACTCAAGACAATTTCAGGAACAGAAACCCGCACCAAGTTCATGAACTATTTTCAGAATTCTGAGGCTCAAGACAGCATTCCCCAGTATCTTGACAACCTTAAATAAAAATCTTTGTCTATGTTTTAAACACACATGAACAACATTACCCCAACACCCATCTCAGAGTGCTCAGCCACAGAATGCCTAATGGAAAGATGCAGACCTTTAACTCACATATAAAGCTAAGTTGTACAGTCCCATTATAGCAAATTTTACCTTGCCTGAAACGAGAACATGGTCAGATGAGTCCATCTTACTTTTATGAGCAATGCACACTGGCATTCTTTCTTTTTTCATGTCCCTGAATCCGAGTAAACCTTCAAAAACACTCATTCATGTGGCTGATTCGCAATTTATATCTTTTTGTTTCACCAAAACACTTTAAATCACTCATTTACAGCAAACAGGCTTGTAATCACTTCATCCTGAATAATACTTATCTTCACTTGGACTATCTACAATAATTATGCTTGTGGCTGGTAGCACTGAAACAAATATTCTCTGGTGCCAGCCAAGCACTGCATAAACCAATCCAGATCAAAAGAAACCTGACTCAGATTATATACAGACAGTACAGGCCTCCAAGCTCTCAGTTAGGAAGTAAAACCAGTTTCTTCACATACGCATAAATTGAACTATTGCTCCTATGACAAGAACCAAGACTAGAACATGTGGCTATCTAAACATTCCAATTAAAAAGGAAATGGTTTGACAAGCAGAACCAAGTTTTTCCATTCTTTTGTAAGATAACCAACAGACAAGGTATGAAGCACTGCTCTCCGCAAGCCTGTGGGGCTGGATGGGATACACACAGGGGTACCGAGGGAGCTAGTGGAAGTGCTCACCAAGCCACCCTCATCATTTATCAGCAGTCCTGGCTAACCAGAGAGGTCCCAGCTGACTGGAAGTTAGCAAATGTGACACCAATCTACAAGTAGGGCCAGAAGGAGGATTTGGGGTACTACAGACCTGTCACTGACCTCAGTGCCAGGGAAGGTTATGGAGCAGATCACCTTGAGCCATCACACAGCACATACAGGACACCCAGGAGAAAAGGCCCAGTCAGCATGGGTTTATGAAAGGCAAGTCCTGCTTGACCAACCTGATTTTCTTCTATGACCAGGTGACCCGCCTAGTGGATGAGGGAAAGGCTGTCGATGTCATCTATATGGACTCTAATAAAGCGTTTGATACCATTTCCCACAGGTTTCTCCTGGAGAAACTGGCTGCACATGGCTTGGACAGCTGTACTCTTTGCTCTGTAAAGAACTGGTTGGATGGCAGAGCCCAGAGAGTTGTGGTGAATAGAGTTAAATCCAGTTGGTGGCCGGTCACAAGTGGTGTTGTTCCCCAAGACTCAGTATCAGGACCAGTTCTGACTAATATCTTTATCAATGATCTGAACAAGGCAATCAAGTGCACCCTCAGTAAGTTTGCAGATGACACCAAGTCAGGTGGGAGTGTTGATCTGCTGGAAGGCAGGAAGGCTCTGCAGAGGGATCTGGACAGGCTGGATTGATGGGCCAAAGCCAACCGAATGAGGTTCAACAAGGCCAAGTGCCGGGTCCTGCACTTGGGTCACAACCACCCCATGCAACGCTACAGGCTTGGGGAAGAATGGCTGAAGAGTTGCCTGGCAGCAAAGGACCTGGGGGTGTTGCTCAACAGCCAGCTGAATATGAGCCAGCAGTGAGTCCAAGCGGCCAAGAAGGCCAATAGCATCTTGGCTTGTATCAGAAATAGTGTGACCAGCAGGACTAGGGAAGTGATCATGCCTCTGTACACAGCACTGATGAGGCAGCACCTCTAATACCATGTTCAGTTTTGGGGCCCTCACTACAAGACAGACATTTAGGTGCTGAAGCTTACCCAAAGAGCAATAAAGCTGGTGAAGGGTCTAGAGCACAAGTCCTATGAGGAGCAGCAGAAGGAACTGTGGCTGTTTAGCATGGAGGAGGCTGAGGGGAGACCTTACCGCCCTCTACAACCACATGAAAGGAGGTTATAGCAAGGTGGGTATCGGCCTCTTCACCCAATTAAGAAGTGACAGGACAAGAAGAAATGGCCTCAAGTTGTGCCAGTGGCAGTTTAGATTGGATATTAGGAAAAACTTCTTCACCTAAAGGTTTGTCAAGCATTGTAACAGGCTACCTGGGGAAGAGGTTGAGTCACCATCCCTGGAGGTACTTAAGACACATAGATGTGGTGTTTAGGGACATGGTTTAGTGGTGGACTTGCCAGCGCTACATTACTGGTTGGACTCTATGATCTTTAAGGCCTCTTCCAATCTAAACAACTATATGATTCAATGATTAGGTTAGTGTACTAAACTTAATTTATTCTTTTTATTGTTGTTAAAGACATAGGTGTACCCGAGTTATTAACACATATGAACAGATACTGCTGAAAGGAAAGAAACTACTAAGTACTGGAGGAAAAGTAGTTCTTGGAACAACTTTAAATTTATCAAAATGTAATTCCTTTCCTTCATTTAGAAATCCAAGACCATGACTTAACAGCCATTTACAGCAAAATAAGAAGCAGTTTACGATATATCTTAAAAATACTACTGCTGGATCTACAATAGGTATGAACAAAACTACCTTCTCTGGCCCAGCATGATTCTTATTTTCATGTTCCTCTTCCACTTTATCTCCTTTTAATGCTTTCAAAAATTCACTCTTCTTATCAGTCCTGATTCTTGTCAATTTCATTAAACGAGGCTGATTGACTTTGTCAACAGGGGATGAAGAATTTGACCGATGACACTAATGAAGGGAATGCGAAAAAGAAAGAATATTTGAAGTTTATTCATTTAGAAAACTTTGAATTAAAGATAAAAAGACTCCCTGGAACCTGTAGTTTCAGGTTTCACATATATCCACAGTCAAAAGCAGAGGGAAGATATTTGTATTTCAGTATATATAGCTCTTAAACATAAACCCAGAGGTGCAGGTTTATGGAGCACTGCTAACAAACAGTTGACCTTCTGAAGTGTATCATACCATTAGCAGTTTTGAAGTTTAAGCTTATCAGGTTATACTTCTTAATACACCATTTTTACTCCAAATCAAATCTACAAAGCAAATTGTGCAGCACTTAAAGGCCAGTGGTGTGCCTTCCATATTTTTCCACACATTAAACTTCAAAAAAAACTTATTTAATACAATCCTGCATAAGATTTACTGATCCCCTTATCTAAACAAATGAAATCTTTCATGAATTTGATCAAAACTACAGTGCTTTACCTCTTCAACTGAATTTTGTGATACAGTAAATACCTTGGCAGTTGATTTGAAAGGACTGAAATTGCTAACACCATATGCAGATTCATGAGGAAATTGATTCCCAAGTTTATTTTCTTTTGCTTGGCTTTTCCACTGTGTAGGCTAAACAAAAATTTAAACAGAAATTTAAAGAGTCATTAACTACAGTAGGATTATTTTCAGGAATCCTCAGAAAAATTGATTATGAAAAAGCAAATCATAACTACAACCATAATTTAGTGCAAACACTTGTTTTCTTGTGGAAGAGAGACTGTTTACGAGCAATTCACCCTTTCAAACACTGTTTACACTTTTTATATAAAGACTAAAATTTCAAAACGATTAAGACTCTCATACTTGAGGTATTAAGAATCAAAATACAAGTCTTCAACATCTTAAAGTATTGTTCTTAATGTAGAATTTTAGAAAGTTACGAACTACTCTGTCATATGCTCTCAGGAGCACAGAAAAATTCCTGGAAAAAAAAAAATCAAGATGAACATGGAAAATTGCATTTGGAGAGGGACCAGAATGACACTAATAGGTTGCAACATCATCTCTATCAATAACTGGGATAAATTCTGAAGGTATTTTTATGCAGACTACATCTCCCCACTAGGTATCTATTTTTCTGTTGAATCATATATACAGAAGGCATTGCTCTTCCATAAATTAAAAACATTCTTTTCACTGTCACTTTCATTTGCACTTCTCAAAAGAGGTGAGAAGCAAGGAGAGATCCAATTACAGTGTAGTTTAAGAACAAAAATGAGAAACAGTTGTTTCCATTCACTTTTGGTGTGTGCTATACTTAGTAAGAGTTGAAAGCATGATACTCTAGGAACAGTAGTCTCAGTGGTGAAATAAGCACATTCAGAATTACAGCAGGATTTTTTTTCCAGCATGTTGTTCATGCCACCAATATCCAAGACTCACCTTTGCAGGTGGAGTGACAGGTTTAGGGACTAATCCTTTATAAACACTTGTGCCAGTTCCATTCCTTGCGGTCTGTGAATGAAGACTTCCTACTACTGGGAATCCAGATATCTGCAGTTCTTTGGTACTGCCCTTTTTAATGACCAGCATTCTTGAAGATCTAGATTTAGAATTCAATGGGTAGTCTGGAAAAAAGTGTGTATAAATGTATATAAGTGTGTGCGTGCATGTGTATACAATCTTAAATTTCTAGTCCATAAGGTACTGGATAGCCATATGGTCCAGACCAAACAAGCATGTATCAGGAACTTAGTACAGTATTAGTTCCACAAATAACACATTGTACAAACCTGGATAAACACAGGTTCTGTTCCATTTTCTACAACCACCATTTGTAAGATATTTCACTTGGCAATGCAGGAATTGTACTTTCAGAAAGTAAAAATATTCTTCAAAGAAACCAGCTACACAGTTCTTGTTTGCAAATCTAAAATCCAAATCCTGTTAGTTGTTGGTAGTTACCTAACCTTCAAAAGAGATTGTGGTTTTCTTATTTCCCTTTAAGGTTACTAAAAGAATAATTACTTAAGTATTTATTAACAGCTCAGTTTAGAGCCAAATGCTCCACACCAAGGCTCTATAAACATGAAACAAGATGGACATTACTCTAGACCACAACAGTGACCAGTTTCTCTATCTCCACACCTCATATGGGCACCACAGAACATCTGAAGCTTACAAAATCTCTGCATTCAAGACAGCACTAATTGAGGCATACAGTCAGCTGTCATATTAAGTAACTGACATTTAACAGTTTTAAAGAACACTTACTGAAAACAGTTCTAAAGTTTTCACAAAGGGGAAAAACACTTTTGCACATGCCTTCCAAGGCTGCATTAATGGCCTTTTCCAAGATCATCTCCTCTCCCTGCAAGCCCACTACTTCACAGGCAGAGTCAGCATATCCTGAAAAACCTATCACCATTTAAAAAACCTATCTTAAAGGCACAAGCAACTTCAGCTTTGTTTAGAAGGTAGATGTTACAAAACATTCATGATACTGCATACTTCAGCCTCATTACATTTTATGAAAAAACTTCGTAATACTCGCATGGTCCCATCACATATACACAAGGGAAAATGGAATCTAGCAGAAGCACACATTTTAAACAGGCATTAGAAGGGACAGTAACATTCCTCCTGTCCTGAATAATGTTTCCTTTAAAAGGGAATAATAATAGCCTTAATTTCAGGTTTTCAATTACAAAACAAGATTGGCATTGGCAGAGCTATAATAAAGTAAGATACCAAGCTGTAAGCTGTAACAAGCCACTGCACTGTAGCTTACAGATTGGAAAAGATTATCTTTAAAGGCCCCTTCCAAACCAAACCATTCTATGATTTTATGCAGCTAAAAGAACTGTTTCTTCCTTTGCTTATGAAGGGTGATATCCAAAAAGACTGGAAAGATTGCCCTCCTTCAGATAAAAATGAGCCACAACATTCAGCAGCCACAGCCAGAGCCCTGCAAAGGTTGTTAAAACACTTAAATTGCTATGTAATTTTTCCCAATATGGTTAGGAAAGAATTTAGTTACTGTTGCTCTTTTAATGAAAGATACCTATTTCCTGACTTTCACATGAAAGCTGCTAAACACACAAAACCGGAAAGCAGTCCAATTGTCTAGGCTCTTGCAAAAGTTCTTAGCTATTACATACTTGTATTGAGGGGTTGGCCTATATCTGTAGTGTTACCTAAGAGTGCAAAACTTACTGGGGAAGTATAGGAAAAAGAATCAGCAAATTAAAGTACCATTTAAAAATCATACAGTCTTTGGGTTGGAAGGGACCTTTGAGGGTCATCTAGTCCAAATCCCGCTACAGTGAGTGGGGACATCTTCAACTAGATCAGGTTGCTCAGAGCCCCATCCAACCTGACCTTCAATGTTGCCAAGGATGGTATATCTACCACCTCTCTGGGCAACCTGTTCCCATGTTTCACCACACTCACTGTGAAAAATTTATTCTTTATAGTTAGTCTAAAACTATCCTCTTAGTTTAAAACCATCACCCCTTGTCTGATCGCAACAAGTCCAGCTAAAAAGTCTGTCCCCAGCTTTCTTATTGCCCCCCTTTAAGTACTGGAAGGCTGCAAGAAGGTCTCCCTGGAACCTTCTCTTCTCCAGGCTGAACAACCCCAACTCTCTCAGCCTGTCCTCATAGGAGAGGTGTTCCATCCCTCTGATCATTTTTGTGGCCCTCTTCTGGACCTGCTCCAACAGGTCCATGTCCTTCTTGTGCTGAGGGCTCCAGAGCTGGACCCAGGACTCCAGGTGGGGTTTCACCCACACAGAGGGGCAGAATCACCTCCCTCGACCTGCTGGCCACACTTCTTTGGATGTGGCCCAGGGTATGGTTGGCCTTCTGGGCTGCCAGCACCCATTGCCAGCTCATGCCCCGCTTTTCATCCACCAGTACCCCCAAGTCCTTCTGGGCAGGGCTGCTCTCGATTCCTTCATCCCCCAGCCTGTACTGATACCAGGGGTCACCACGACCCAGGTGCAGGACCCTGCACTTGGCCTTGTTCAGCCTCATGAGGTTCACATGGGACCATTCCTGAAGCTTGTCCAGGTCCCTCTGGATGGCATCCCGTCCTTCAGGCATGTCAATCACACCACTCAGCTTGGTGTCATCTGTAAATTTGCTGCAGGTGCACACAGTCTGTCATTGATGAAGATATTAAAGAGTACTGGTCCCAGTACAGACCCGAGGGACACCACTCGATGCCGATCTCCACCTGTTGAGCACTACCCTCTGGATGAGACCATCCAACCAATTCCTCATCCACCCAGCAGTCCACTCAAGTCCATATCTTTCCAATCTAAAGAGAAGGATGTTGAGGGGGACCGTGGCAAAGGCCTTACAGAAAAGAGAAGTGCTACCTCTCTATCAGAAAGATACTTACATTGGAATAGTATTGAAGCTTCCTCAATTTCAATCTATACCTTTATAATTCTAAAAAATCCTGTATTTCAAATACAACTGCAGACCTCCACTACATTTTTACACTTAAAACCAAAAATTACTCACCCCACACACCTGCAGCTAAAGACTTATTCTGGTTTGGTTCCTTCTCATATTCAGGGTTCAAAGATGGCTGAAAGAAATTTTTATCATTGTTAAAAAAGAAGTCATCTTGAATTCTGAGACCAGTGAAATAAAGAATCACAATAACACCCATGGTATGAGCTCTACTGTCAAAGACGTTTAAATGGAGACAGACTAGACACTTCGCCCTATGACCCAAATAGGTCAATACTCACTTCTTTCTCTCCAACAAAACATCTCAGCCAGCAGTCAACACCATTACATGAACTTTCCAGTGAAAGCAGAAAGCAGCCATGTAGGTTCTTCAGAGGAAGCTCACCCATCTCTTACATCCTACCATTCTAGGTTGAAGCATGGGATCTTATTGGCAGAAAGACCACTTAGTTAATACTTTGATTTCAGGTAACTGTAGAATGTAATACACATACATACTACAGTAAACTGGAACCAACTGTAGTTTCACTTAAAACACTTAAGCAACAATAATAAACATTATGATAAAACTGGATATAAGAGGAGAAACAAGTCTGTGGACAAGTGACTAATACCCTCTCCTCTTACCCATGGGAAGGGTGATCCCTTACGTGATGATCTGAAACTGGGGAAATCTCATGAAGTAGGTTGTAATGAAAAATATGGCAGTTGCAACAATGAAACTTTGTTTATTATAATTACAATTAACTTACAAAATCCTCAGCCTCAAACTGTTTGGGTACTTCTTTGTCTTTCTTTTTCACAGTTTCACTATCAGGTACTTTGTTTTCATGCAGTCCTTGGCCTTTTCCGAAGTGGAAAGTGCTGGTACGAGCACGGGAACCTCCGCCATGGCATTCCCCACGATGGTTTACATTTTCTGTGCCATTTCTGCCTTGTGAACGCCAACCATTCTTCTCTTTTCTCCCAAAATACCCTTAGATTTTTTTAGTTTTAAAGAAATTAAGTTACAAACAATTTTAAAAGAATATTCTACTTTTGCAAAATTGTTAGAGAAGTTAAGTCAGCAGCTGTATACTTCAGGATGTGATAGCAGTGACCTTTGAAAATTTTTATTCACATAAGCAGCAAAGGAGCGTCTTACAAAACAGTGCCAGAGAAAGAGGCTAGTAGTCCAACATTAAGGCAAGTCAACCTCCTTTTCTGGCTGCTCATTTGTATGTTGTTGGCTAGAATATTCACTCGACACTCGAGAGAAATACACCTGGAATCACACTACTTTAACCAACCCTTAGTCATCACATTCTCTTGCCAGAAAGTCTGTCTTACTACAGAGTAAGAATTTAGCAGGAAAGAGCCATTACCAGACTTTTTTCTAGCTAGAGTGTTACAATGCAATGATTTAAACATATACAAAGTGTTCCATGAAAGCTAAATAATACCTCCATTAGATCGTCCAATGCTAGGATCAAACCCATCTGAAGAGTTGTGTCTTCTGCGACTTCTTTCATAACGATTCTCTGTCCACGAAAAGTTTTCAGAATGTTTCTCACAGTTCAGTGATGACTGTAAAGGAGCACAAGTGGTAGACCAGAGATATCTGATTAACAACAGAACTGAGTTACCAGAACTGTAACATGCACAGTATTCATGGTATCTATAATCCATTTTTTAAAGGACTCTGAATGACAGACAATGCAACAGTTCTCAAGCATGCATATGTTTAGAGCTAAGTCTCCCATGCTAGCAAAGTGGAAGCTGATCTTATGCTCCATGACACTTAAAAAGCACTGAGGACCACACTTGTGACACAAGGTAAAAAACCCCGACTGTCTATTTTGTTTTGGCAGCAGAACAGAGCACAAGTACACGTTGCAGTGTAAAAAACATAAGAAAGGACAGGCGATCAGTTTAGAAGGCAGAAAAGAAGCCTGGGATCTTAATTTGGGTGGTCAGAGAATACACACATGCATTCCATAGAAAGCAAGGAGTCACTTCTACAAGAGAAAAGCTGCACCCAAGGCCCAATTTATGAGTCTTGTCATAACTTAATACGGCAAATTCAACTAGTTATGAAATACAAATAAAACCTTGAGTTAAAGTGTACAGATTCACAAATATACTTCAAATTATCAGCTTGTAAGTAGGCATTGTAGAAATTTTGAAGAAATAAATCTTTACCATTTCAGTAGGAAGTACTTTATAAACTAAAACCTTATATTGAAAATAGCACTTAGAAATCAAAATATATCCTGACTACAACTCATATCTAAGGGGATTAAACCAAAAAAGTCTTACAGCAGCTGTCTTCCCTATTACTGCTATCTAGCTTTACTATTTTAACACTGTAACATTTATTTCACTGTTACATCTTAAATTCAAGAATAAATTTCCATTCTGCAAAAGTAGTGCTTAGCCTTACTGCCATTCAGTCCACACCTCCCAGTGTACGACAGCAGAGGGCTGTGTTACCCAGCACCTCCCTGCCATACAGCCAGCCTTTGATGCACATGAAGCAAAACCCCCTTCCCTTCCAGCAGACTTACTGTGTACATGTATGTCCACTGTACTGCACATCTACAAGAGACCCAACACATCCCAGGGCCATAAGAGCTACAAATGCATAAATGCACAGCTGTGTGGAAATGTACTGTGTCAGCAAACTAAGCTTAATGATTCCAGAGAGTGCAGCTTTACTGCATCCAAAAGATCAACTTCGCTGCCTAAAGCTCACCCCCTCTCCAGACTGAGTAACGTTCACAAAAAAATATAGCAGTAGTGGTGTATGTCTGAAAATGAAAGTTCCAAGTTTATTTCAACAGTTGTTATCCACTAACATGTAATCAAACTACATTAATATTTAAAGTACTCCACTACAGGGGGGTGGGGAGGTGGAGGAGATCACAGTAATAGGTTAACTACTTTGGAAAACATGTTGCAGAAAATTATTTCCTTCTTCCCACCACCTCCGCCCCCGCAGGAGACAATCACACAAAAAAATTATACCCAAGTTCTACTGACAAAGCCCCAGCCAGAGCTCCAGGTGCTGTTCAAAATTCACTGCTTAAAATTTAAACTCAAGTAAGCAACAAATGTATTTAAAATACAAACCATGTATTTCCAAACCATACAGAAGTCAAATGAAAAGGTATTTCCCTCTCAATTTGAGACCTAGGAAGTGAATTACTTTCTTGACAAACTTGGACAGAGAAAAAACAGAAAGCCACAGGAAACTATCAGAAGTAGTTCAAAAGTTATCATAATGAATCTCAATATTTAAGTAAAAAAATAAATCCTTATAAACAAACTTTGAATAAACTGCCAAAAACTTAGAAAGCTCCAAAACTGTTATCATAGATGAGATTATAGAAGATGATTCACATGTTCATTTACATACAACAACCTTCTAATACTGCCTTTGGAGTTTAACTTACTATTTTTTTATGGACTTTGAGGAACAGTCACATTTTCATGAAGTATAACTGACAGGATTTTATATATAGCATTTGAGTTGTACATTACATAATGAATCTAAATTGCATGCAAAGATCATGCAGTTTGCATTTTCCCCACATGATGGAGGTATCAGTCCATCAAGTCTCTTGTGGCACAGACGACAGTAAACATCGTAATCAACAGGAAATTAACGGGCAACTTCTGGAAGCTGAGAAGTTATCTGACTAGGTTCAACCAGCCAAGAAAGCAACACACATTTCTGAAGTATAAGAAGTCATCTTGTTGCTTAACATGAAGCTTGCAAAAACTGAGTTTGCCAGTCTGACTGCAATCTCCCCATACACATTTTGCAGCAAACCTTTCTGAAAAGTTTAACCCATATCCCAGGATGGCTTCACTATTCACAACACCTTCCCATTTCTGTCTGCCCAACTACAATACTGCACTGACACAAATATGGCAGTTCCAGACCTCAACAAAAGCTACTGAGCAATGGATACCCAGCTGTCTAGGTGGACTTTGCTATATAAATGACAGGGAGATGATATAAAAGCTTATGCTTAAGAGGAAATAATCAGCAACGCGTCACATGGGTTTCAGTCAAATGTAATCTGTATCAGTGACATTAAGCTCATTTGCAATCCCAGCTTCCTGACATCAAGTTTTTCTAGTGCCAGCCTTTACCTATGTAAGGAAAAGACTCAGCTATCCAGGATCACGGTGGAGGGAAACCAAGCTCATAAAGATGCAATTCCTGGAAGTGCCACTTCAAGGAAATAAAAACTGACCAGGCCGAGTTCAGTTTCTCCTTCTCAAGTCTAAACATTGTTGACACCATAGCCTCACCCCACCTCCATTCTGTATGGAATGAGACACCTTGCCTTCCTTACCCCATCCTTCCTCTTCATCTCCATCCCTCTTACATATGGGAAGCAGAAATAAAAATCTATTCTAGGAAACAGAGGGGGCAGAGGGGCACAACATTCAAGACCTGTCTTGTAAAGGAATGACAGGACAAACTTTATTCTGTAAACTAAGAATTACTACACATCAGGAAGGACTAAAAAGAGTTTGCAAGTGTTCAGTATCAAAATGTGTATCACAGAACACTGACCACTGAGGGAGGAGGTAACAAAGAAAATAAGCTGCATTTCAAACAATGAAGTACAAAGACTATATTGGAGAAAGCATACAACTATGGAGTTTTTGGAAAAGATGAAAGAAAGGCTATCTAAACTCCTTGAGGCAAAGAACCATGGAAGAGAACAGGAACCACAACATACGCTTGCAATGAAGTTTCTCACAATTGAGGAATGAGGTGACAAATACAACCCATACCTCAGACACATTCGAGTGATACTGGAACTTACTTTTATCCTGCTATATTGACATTTTAAGCATGCAGGTAAAAGCTCTTACAGCACATTCTTGAAATATGCAGTGAAGATTGTTTTGTAATTGTGACACTACGTTAAATTAAGCTGTGATTACTTTTCCAAATGAAGTAGTATTAAATTGGTAAAAGTGGATCAAAAGAGTTCAATCATATCAGAAGTCAATGAATGAAAACAGATTGCAGGAACCGTCCTGGAACAGATAAGCCTGATGTTCCCAAAACAGCATCTGACAGTTGCTGACAGACTATACTAAAACAAAGAAGCTACCTAGGTCAGTGTAGAAGAAAAATAGAGCCATATGAATAAGGACATTCAACAACATGACTAAAAAAATGCATATGTGTGTGTATAGACATGTATAAGCAAAGTAATGGGAACACAACTAATATTGACAGTAAATTGTACATTTAACAATAGCACAAGCTCATTTCCATAAGTTTATAATGGCTAAACATTTTCCATGGACATAAGACAGCAAGAAACTTACATAAATAAATTAACGTAAGGCAATGCCCCTCTCATAGCTGCATTCAAAAGATTATAATGAAGACAAATCTACAATAGGGAAATAGATGACAGAAGTTTGAATATCCAATGTTGCCTCTGCTTCTGCATTCGCACAAATTAAGAAAGAGTAGAAGAAAAAAGAAACATTTATGAGACAGACATACTCATGACTTCCTAGAATATTTACAAACCCTAATGATTCAGAGATTGCAATTTCCTCTTTCCAAGCTAACTGTCCCATTGTATGAAGTGAGTAACAGTAATTTAGATGAAACAGAGTGATCATACAGAACTATTTGAAACCACTACACTCCACCAGTAGTAACAAGCATCTCACCAGCAGCTGAAAAGCCATTTCAGAAGGTCTATTTCAAAAAGGGGCTTTAGTTGTGGTTTTTTTTATCACTTGGGAGCATAGAAAAATACTTCAGTAAAATTTATAGGACACAGAGCAAAATCAGAAGCAAGAACAACAAGCACATGCCTCTCTTGTCTTGGAATTCCTAGCACAAAATACAATAATTCATTTTAAACTCCTGATGAAGGCAATGTTAATCCAACAACAGTTCTGATAATGCAGCCAGGCACATGCTTCTTTCCATGAACTCAGCTGCTCAAGCAAAAAACTCTGGCACAAGTATGAGGTATCAGCTTGACAACCACAGTACAACTACTTAAGTGACAACAACGAAACTTACTAGTTATCATCTGTTATCACCTCAAACAGATTTGCATTTTTAATATGATTGAGCTTACAACATTTAGACTTCTCTAATAATGAGTGTGCCTGTTCAGAAGAACAGCAAGGAACATACCTTTGTTGATGGTGGAGTAGGAAAATTAAGCCAGGCTGGAGCAAAGTCATGCTGCGCCATTTAGGTCCAGTCTCTCTGAATCAAAGAAACAAGGCTTCAACACCTCATCACAAGCCCCTGTAATTGGAAAAACAAGAAATAAGTACTCTTCAGATGCTTATGTTACGAGAGGATTACATTTGTGGTGTTTTGATCATTATTTCCCTTCTGTCTTCTTGTATTATTTTCTCACACAGATCTGGTTTAGGATCTAACTACCCTCATCTCATTTACAGCATCGCATTTGTGCTTTTATTACCACAATGTCACACTGATCAAATCTATCGCACATATCAAAACCACAACCGTAATATTCCTTCCTTTATTTCTTCCTATAAATGGATGAAGCATCTTGCCTAAGGTCTGATCCAGAAAGTTGCGGCAAATTTGACTTGTTGAAATATTTTCTGGTACTATCTAGAATGGATTCCAGGAGCTATTTCTTTAGCTTCCTAGAAGCTGATTTTTTTAATTAGTTCCTAAAAATCAGTTGCAGAGGCCTTATTAGGTTCCATATGAAAAAACCTAGATGCTCAGGGGTACCACAAACCCCATATTACCTCTGGATTCAGTGGAAACAGGAGTCCACATGTCCAGAAACAGTGTCAAAATCCAGTAAAATTCTCTAGTTTAAAAATGGGCAGGAAAAAGTAACGGCTTAAGGTTAAAACCCAAGAATACTTTTTCTACCCAATATCCTCCTCACAGGTAGATCATCTCGCAATAAGCAAAAGAATGCTAAATAACATGAACTATATTACCTAAAGCTGAACTATAGGACAGAAAGGAAAGAAATGGATTAAACACTGCCTGAATTGTAAGGGTATCTGAATTATGCTCTGCATGATTAGACACTGCAAAATTGTCAATGACACAAATATTTTCAGTATGATATACACACTATTAGAAATTAATCTCGTGAAAACATTAACACCCACATGCATTTCATAGGGAGACCCAAATAAACATGTATTCTACATCTCTGCACACCAGAGTGCCGATCTGTTAGTGAGCATAGATGTAGTTCACTTTAATCTATGGCTGCTGTAACATGAGTAAGTATTAGTAAGAGCTGTGGAATCTGAACTTGATAACTGATAATTACTGTTGTATTCTGGCCTGAACCAGGCTATTGCAGATTTCCAGCAACAGACGAGAATACGCCAGCTTCTAAAAGGAAGTAGAACAGATTTGTAAGCGTTTAACTGCATTTAGTTGAGCTGCTGGTTCTTTTTTTATGTTGTGAGCACATGCTTAGGTTTTTAGGTACTTTTGATATCAGAGTTAAACTGTAAGGTAAGATGTACAAAATCTACTATCATTAAGTAGAGACAAGCTTAATGGTACATCTCACCCAAATAACTTGTTATAAATTACTCTGTTGAAGTCATCCAACACTCTTCTAAATTAACCTCAACAAAAAATCCAGAGAAATTTTCTGAAGAATCCAATTATGTCAGACTAATAAAAATTAAATGAAGGAAGTTCTACAGTCACAGCACCACCAGGAAAATGGCTACTCTAACAGGAACCAAGTTCACTTTCACTGATTAATCATGTTCAGCAATGGTGTGGAAGCAGAAAAGAGTATATGTTTACAGATGAATCAATACCAGAGATGCTAAATTAAGAAACAGCAAATTAAGTGTGAGCAGACTGCAGCAAGTAAAAAATTTTTTCTCCTTCCCTCCAATACAGTTCTCATCTCCAATCAGGAGAATCATGAAATCTTTACAAAGGGTCAAGACGGGTATCAATACTGGAAGATCAGCACAACAACAACAAAATCTTCAGACCAAGGCACTTACAGTCTGAAAAAAGAAAGGGAGAGATTAGGTTTATACCAACTAAGAACATAACAAAGTATCCAAGAAGTATTACCAAGTTAGTGGTGAATTGGCTATTAGATATGGGACAAAGGCACTAAGAATAGGATTTTTTAATAAATTCATCTTACTGTTTTTAGAAAACTAGTCAAGCTTCCTAACACTATTATTTATCCCACTTCTATGAAAAGAGTATATTCTTAACTAATTAACAACCCTACCTCTTACTCTTTGCACATAAACCATGGACTCTGGTGAGATTTAGTGATCACCAAGTATCCAACGACTAAAACGGTGTTTTTAAGAGAGCTGTCCACAGCTCACTGATACTGGGCGTGTATTTCTTCTGGCAAAAATTCCAGAAGCAGATTCAAGTCTTCCTCATGTTCTCAGTTCAACTCAAAACTCTAAAAAAGTTCCTGGTAGTGCTGCTCTGTCAAATCAGTGAATGCCTTTCCTACAAAGCATTACAGTGAAGTGGTAAAGACAGACACCTGGGCCAAAACTACACAACACACAGACTGCAAAGTCAGCAGCAGAGTATGCGTAAACTTCAACAAGCCCGTAAAGAAAAAGTTCTTTTAGAACCAATTCTTCCAACTAGTTTTGACAAAAAGTACAACAGTAAGAAAAGCACAGGTATATTTTTAGAACACTACCTGACCAATTTCACAGGTTTACAGATAAAGACTACCAAACACAACTATTGAGGACACTGAACTCCACAGCAAAGTCAAGAAAACAGTTTCTCTTATCTGACTGTACCTGTTATCGGTCTCACAATTAGACATGGGAAAATGGGAGTATTTTCGTTAGTAAACCTTATTCACATCTAATAGGCACAAGTACTCTAGCCATAATTAAATTGGGAAACTGAGAACAGATCAGGAAAGGAAAAATATTAACATTTTTAACTATATTTTAATAGCCTACCCAGTTTTAAGTTGCCAATTCCATGTTTTACCAGGCTTCCTAAGTACTCTTACAGATACTAACTTTCTGATGTTGCCAACAAGTTTGTCCTAGAATGTGTTTTAGTATAAAAACATTTTCATTACAAGCATGAGCTCTGTTTTGATGATCCACCAAATATTCAATAACTCTAGGATACTCTTCATTCTCAGGAAAATAATTCCAGTAATTTGAAAACAGATCACAAAAATTGAGAATGTGATGTCAGTAAGACCACTCTGCTGCCATAGACTGGATTTACTATGCTTAAACCCTTCGTGATCAGCTCAGCTGCTAAACACCAGTTTGTTCCTTGCTTGCTTTCCAAGCTTAAGTTAGACTAACAACTGACCACCATGTTCTTCTGCAACATGTTCCAGCACTAGAAAGGTTCCTTCCACCAGGTCTGACCTAAGCCTTTTTTCCCCTGCTCTGTCCAGGTCCATTAGCCAAGCTATCCCCAGCAGAGACATTCTGCATGCTGGGTTCCTCAAAGCACTTGCAAACTCTTTTCAGATTTGTACTATCTACAAATTTAATTAGCATGCACTCTATTTCACAGTTGAAATTATTAATAAAAATAATGGAAAGACTTATTTAGAAATTTACTTGATACATCCTTCCAGCCTGACATCAAACAAAAGCTGCCTTTACAAAGACTGAAGAGCCACTAAGGCAAACAGGTAACACTGATCAGCAATTTACTTAAGAACACTTCTGCCTTTTAGAAACATATGACTACTTTTAAATTAAAAAAAATAACCCAGCACATTTGAAATATTTGAATAGAATTCAAGTCCATAGCATACACTCATACAAGTATTTACAAGAAACCATTTTAATTATACTGACAGACATGAAGAAACCATTTGTCTGTTAGCACGTCTCCTCTTACATACACACCACACAACAGATCAACCACTGTTCATCAACACTGATAAAACAGCTGTTGTACTCACAGCATTAATACAGCTATCAGAAGTAAGCTTAATGAAGTAAACACCACAGATTCAAACACAATTCCACTGCTTTCAGAAATTGTCTTGGTAACAAATGAAGAAGTCCAAAAATTTATCACTTAATGTTTCAAGTCACCACTCCCTATCAGACCAAACTCAAAATATATCTGCCATTCTTTAACCTAAGTGTCATAAAGCTAACTTGGCTCAGGTTATCTCTAACTGAAGCAGAGCTGCACAATTCTAGAAACGTAAGAAAGAGGTACTGAAATACTGCTACCCTCATACTATTAACACTCAAATGCATTTAAATGTCTTTAATCAGACTCGTCAAAATATTCAGTCTGATCTCAGCAATAGCCTCTGGTATATGATTCAAGTACTGCATAGTGACTTCAGAAAAGAAGTCTTCCATAACCCATAAATTTACATAAAATTCATGTTTTTCTGTGTTGTGGATAGTAGTTTACAGTGAAGAAAAAACTGTCCTTAAATTTTACTTCCTGTGGGGATCAGAGAAGACTGTAAACCATTTTGTTTCAGGTAAGAGGCAATAATTATTCCAATATCCAGTTATATAATATTTATCTCTATAGTTTTGTGAAGTATGATATTCAATAAGGCAGTTAATGCCAAGGAATGATGAACAGGTAGTTCCAAATAATGTACAGTGAAGAGATTTATCAGCAATATAACTCAGTCACCTACTTTCAGCCATATAAAGCAGCTGAAATAACAACACCACACCAAGTATGCTTAACCAACACCCAAAAAAGGTTGGGCTGGGTTTTTTTTATGATTGAGTCAATAAGGTCCTTTTGTGACAGAAACTGTTTTTCACCAGTTCTAAAGCAGCTGCAAACACTACTTTTTAAACAAACTTATTCCTGTCACCTATAGAGCATTTGGAAAAATTTAATATATTGCCTCTGCTTTAGAAAAAGTAGTAACATGCTGAGAAAAAGGAAGAGAAAGCCACTGCATGAATCAGGACTCAAGACTTCTGTGAAAAAGTTAAGAATAAACATCTAGAATCAACTCCCAAAACTCTTCAAAAACAAAATAAATGGAACTACAACAACTATCATTAGTTTAGCTTGTACTTACCAAATTAAATGAAGAAATAAAATATTAAACAGCACAGTCAGTTTTCCCTGCGCTACTACATTTTTAACTCATCACAGAAAGATACAAGTAAAAGTCACACTTAGAATAACAGCACAGAAATTTAAAATTTTATTTGGTGCAATAATGAACTATTTCAGTGATCAAGAACAAGAAAAGT